GAGATATTCACTAATTACTTTTTAATTAATTAATTAGTTATAATTAATCATCATGTGAAAGACCAAACATTTTCACATAAGTCTATGCTAAAAGAATTTATCCAGAAAATTCACTCTTAGAAGAATTAAACTCAAATGAAACGTGTAAATGTCCCGTTTTGCCTGATTTAGCCGATATATATATATATATGAATCTTTTGTATCGACTACAAACATTGATATTATTGGTTTACATAAGATAATGGTAATGATATTAAGATAAACTTAAGATAAGCTAGAGTTGAACCAACATCTGTCTTTTAATTGGGCAAGTGAATGGAACTGTAATTAATACTAATATTCCTATATGCCAACAATTCTTTTCATCTTTATTTTATTTTAATAGAGATATCAGTTGTTATGGTTGAATATAATGTTTAATATAATTAAATTAAATAAATAAATCCTAGTACATACAAAATTTAATATTTTAACATAATAATATAAAATGATTTAAGGGAATATGGACTGGTATTTCTTATAAAAATAAATTGAAGCCAGTAAATTATTTTGTGTGTACTAATCTTGTTTGTAAATTATTAACATTTCTTGTACCTAATACGGGTCGAACTTCATTAATAGGAGATTCACCAAAATATTCTTTTCAAATGGCATGGAACTTTCTAGGAAATGTTCTCATGCTAGAGCAATAAGTGAAATGAATGTAAATCATTTTTTTATAATCTGCTGGAACTATTTCTTTTTTCGGGGCTTCTATAACTTTTTGATGATATCCGGCATAATTATTTGAAGATAACGGTTGACCAATATTCCATCTTAATAGATTCCTTTTAAATTGTTCTTCTATAAATTTGTTAAGATATTTATTTAATAATAATGCCATCCGTAGTGTTTCTCGTTCATCTAAATATGTTTGGAAAGTTGAGCAATATCGAATCGTTCTAAGTAGCATTGTATAAAGGATATTTTTCTTCATATGTAGAGGATGGATGCTGTTGAATGGTAAATAACATGGTTCATAAGATGGTTTTTGGAAAATCGAAGTATATAATTCACCATCTCGATTTTCTATGTGTGATGTGGTTAAGTATTACATGTTCGTAGAGTCCAAAACGTCCGTGTTATGCAGTTTTGTAACATCCACTTGTTTAATGTTACTCATACCTAATAACTGGTCAGAATCCTTTAAGAACTTGTTATACTCAAGAGTAGATGCTATTTGTATTGAAGTATCTTGTAAAAACCTGTCTTTTACCAAAAGTGCAGCAGAAATACCACGTACAACATTGAGTAACTTGATCATGTCTCCACTACTTACTTCATGTCTAGTCATTGCTGCAGCACTCCAATTTGACTTTATAGATTCATAAGATGATTGACGAGCCACACTTTGTAAAGATGGTGATTGAGCTAAAGTTGTTTCAATGTAAAACTTGACAGCAATGAGTGCCAATTCTTGGACAAGATTAAAATATTGTGGAGATCGTTGAGAAGACTCTACTTCAGGCAGAGTTCCAGGAAAATCATCAAAGAACCACGATCGGTAAGAACTGCATAATATTCCAAATTGTTGAACGTACTGGTACGACTGAATAAGATAAGCTGACTGTCCAACAAACTCCAATGCCGGCATAATACCTTTGTTCAACAACATTTTTAGAACTACTATGCTGTTGACTATCATTGATGCACCTGAAACTTGTTCTCGAGGAGACATACGAATTTATACTGATTCACCAATTGGCCAATCCGAAATAACACCATATGATGGATTTAATAAGCACCAATGATGTGGATCGTTAGGCAAATATTGTACCAAGACATTATGTACGCTTACACCATGTGTTGCTATGTAAAAAGTTGATGTTACATTTTTCTCATGGCACTTTTGCTGATCTAAGTTCAAATTGGTACGCCACCAACTTTCACGCTGTAACCACCGCTTTGGAAGACCTGTAGCTGGACTGCCGTCCGTACAATGATTAGTTTTCCTCTATGAGGTAGTCCGGGTGACAGCAGCTGTCCAAGCATTGGGCGCATGGTTTATGCAAAATGATACAAATTCATCAGCCTTTTTGTCAATTGTTGTTGGATCTTCACAAACCACAAATTCACGATTTTTTACTGAACTCATCAGACCTCCTACTATAGACCAGAATCGTACCGAATGTACCCAAATATGGAATTCATCATCTATGTCTTCTTCACCTATATGGCCGATATTTGCTGTATAGAACTTTGTCATATCATCAGTATTGGGTGGTGGTATATTAATATCTTCTATTTCGACCCAATTCAATCCTTTAGATGTATGATACATTCCAAATTTCTTTCCTTCATAAAACATTATATTACCACTAGTAATGCAACCTTTTTTATTTTTATAATTTGATGTTCCTTTAGATTTATCCCATGATTCAATTCCAACAATTGGATCATACATTTGATTATATTTTTTGACCTTTATTTTGGCAGCCCATTGCTTGATCATTCCATTCGATATACGAATATACTCATTTGGACTTAAACCAGCATCTATGCCAACTTCCAAACCCGCTTCACCCTTTCCGTTACCGTAGAGGTAAGCGAATTGATCAGGGTGTGGGTGTGGATGTGGGTGTAGATGAATACAAAATCCACCCCACATCCACACCCACACCTCACCCACACCTCACCCACACCTCACCCACACCTCACCCACACCTCACCCACACCTCACCCACACCTCACCCACACCTCACCCACACCTCACCCACACCCACCCACACCCACACCCACACCCACACATCCATCCAC